GCGGCGTTCGGCCACGCCCTCCACGGCGGCTGGGGCTCTACTGCTCCGGTGCGGGAGGGGCCCGTCTTGCCCGGCCACCTCTCCCAGCAGCTCTCACCTGGCTTCAGGTACGTCGCGTTCCTCGGCCTGTCCCGAGAGACTGCCAGGTGGTGGTTAGGGGGAAGCCACACTCTTGGTGGAAGAAAAAACCCACAAAAACAAAAACCGCAACGTTAACAAATTAACACGTAGCAACAGCCACTTTGTGTTGTCTTTAAGCTCCCGAAAGAAAGGAAGTGGTGGAGGGAAAAGTGTGCGTGTGCCTGGGGGCGGGGGGCTCGAGATGAGGCGGGGCAATGGCTCCATTTAGGAAAAGTCGTGGAAAGGTCTGAGGTGGTTTCAAACAAACGGAGCCTTTAGTCACGTTGAATCACCACTGAATGGTCGGTCAGGGCGTCTCTGAAGTAGCGACAGCAAAGCCCCTCCTGCTGCAGCTGAAGAAACTAAGTGTCCGCTACAGTGATTCTCAACCTTCTGGCCCTTTAAATACAGTTCCTCATGTTGTGACCCAACCATAAAATTATTTTCGTTGCTACTTCCTAACTGTAATGTTGCTACTGTGATGAATCGTCATGTAAATATCTGATATGCAGGATGGTCTTAGGCGACCCCTGTGAAAGGGTCGTTCGACCGCCAAAGGGGTCGCGACCCACAGGTTGAGAACCGCAGGTTGAGGAGTGGGCGGTGGGCTCCTGCCAAGCGCTTGCTCCAGTCGGGGAGAGGAGAGCCGCCGGTCACAGCTGCGGGCAGTGGCGACTGATGGGCACAACCATTTGGTTGAATTACGGATACCCGGCTCTTAAGGGAACCATCCAAAGCAGTGGTTCTCAACCTTGGCCGCACATTAGAATCACCTGGGAATCTTTTTAAAATCTTGATTTCTGGGCCTCATCCTCCCTAAATTCTGTTTGTTACTAATGTTGTGACCCCGCCCCAGAACAAAGACAGAATTCCCGGAGGATGAGGCCCAGAAATCAGGATTTTAAAAAAGATTCCCAGGTGATTCTAATGTGCAGCCACGGTTGAGAACCCCTGATCTAAAGAAATCTACCACAGAAAGGGAAAACCATTCGATCTCACAGACAAGAACGAGGTCCAGGGGCCGGAGGCTGAATCAGTCACCAGCGGCCAGCGACGCTGTCCATCATGCCTGTCATGAGGCCTCCACAAACCCCAATGGCAGGGTTCGGAGAGCTTCCCGGGCGGCGAACACGGGAGATCCGCGCTGGGAGCGAACCGGGAAGCGCCGCATCCTTTCCTTTCCCCGCATGGCCGGCCCATCGGGCTGTTCCTCGTTTATATCCGTTTATAAGAAACCGGTGATCTAGTAACAAGTTTCTCCTGAGTCCTATGAGCCACGCTGGCAAATCACTCAGACCCCAGGAAGGCGTTCCGAGACCTGGGCCTGCAGCGGGCACCTGGGCCCGGGACAGGGTCAGAGTGGAGGTGACTTGTCCGACACCCCGCGGTGGCACGGCGCTTCGTGGGTGTGCAGGGCCACCTCCCCACCCCAGATCCTGGAATTGGGTGGTCATAAACTCCAATGACCAGCGCACTCGCTTACCATCACACCTTCCACAGACCAGTGTCCAGTCCGCTGTCTGAGAACGCAAGCTCGACACCTGGAGCACATACCTCACACGTAGGAGCTGCGTAACCTTAGGTACACAAGCTGTTTAACCTGTTTCCCTTCCTGAGGATGGACAGGCTTTATCTCATAGGATAAAATGAAATATACATGTGTACGTAATAGGTACTAACACAAGTTAGTAATTAAGAAACTCCAGGACAGTCATAACAATCCAGTAATATGTATTTTTTAAGAGGTAATGTAAGAGACTTTCCTTTTCTTTAATCTAAGGTATCTTGACATAAAGTCACACTTTAAGTTTCTACATTAATCAAATGGTTTAAAGAATTAATCTGTATGCCTACCTACTTAATGTAAACATTGAAAATATTTTCTATTACTGCTCAGGCAGGTTTTGAAAGCACTTTAACCAGTCCTTTATCAGGAGGAAGAACCTAATTCAGGATAAGGTGGTTAACGGAAGTACTTTTAAATAGGTTATAAGTCGTAGCCATTTGGCTCTTGGGAGTTTGCAAACGGGGGCATTTATATTTGAGGGTAAAAAATCGAAAAAAGAAAAAAAAAGTAATGCCCTTTGGGCAGTGTTTCATAGTCACCTGGAATGCTGTTTAAGAATAAAGATTTCTGTCTCCCACTTAAGATTTACTGAACAAGACCGTGACTGAGATCTGCATGAACAAATTCCACACGAGAATCTCAGGCCTACAGTCACGCGAGAACTGCCTCGAGGGAAGACCTCTCAGTGTTAAGATTAGACCTAGAAATTGCTGACAACCTTTAAACACACAAAATATCTTTAAGAGATAAATGTTTAGGGGCAAATACTAAGCAGTGAAATACTCTTAAAAAGCCCTCTCAGAGAAGTGGGTCCCAGTAAGCCATTATGCTGGAGTCTTGACATTCAGATGACTTAGGGGGAAAATTAAAAGTAGCAACACTCTGAAAACCCTCAGTAAAGTTCATTCTTGGTCTTCTCTTCCTAAATTTGTTTTCAATTCTATTAGACTTAATCACTAAGCAAGACCAAAAGAGAACTTTATTTTACATGACTTTATTTTACATTTAAAATCATTTTATGCTTTACTTAAAAAAAAGAAACTCACTGTTTTTTAATATTCCTAAAAGCATTTTAACCAAAATCTTGATTTAGGAAGACTTAAGACATTTTGTATTATTTTAAATATTTCATTTTCTCAGTAATTATTAAAAATAAGTTCACAATTAGGGTTTCAAATGTCCTAATCATATCTGATTTGTTCTCATTTCATACTTTATCAATCCCATAATGTGCATACAGAAGTGAAGGTGATATATGTTACTATTTCAGACATATCAATAATCAGCTCTTAATCTAACTACTATTTCACTTACTCAGAAATAGCATTTAGACACAAAAACCAATGTTACTTTGTAAAATAACCTTTGGTTAATTTACACAAATCTAACAGCATGTTGTGTAAGTTTTGAGTAATACAAGTTGCACTATCATTTTAGTTTTTAATATATATATGTCAGCAAGGCTGAGGACGGCATGTAGTTCATTCTGAAGGAAGTTATAAAAGTGTAGTGCCTTTGAACATGAAAAACATCCTGAAGGCCAGGAGTCCTATGAAGGAACTGAGAGGTAGGAGAGATTCCAGAGAATCTCTGCTCATTTTCAGTATGTGAAGTGACTAGTTTAAGTCACTTTATTGAAGACTTTGTGAAGAAAACCGTGTTCCATATTGTGCCATTGAATGAAAGTACCACAAGAATTTCGGTATTGGTCTGAGGTTACATAATGGGCCATCAAAAAAAGAACCTGTCACATAGGTGAGTTAATTCCCTTGCCAAGTGGGTCCCAACTTCACTTCCCCATTTATAAAAAGAAAATGTGGCCTGACCAGTGCCATTCAGGATTCTCTGCTAACTGTAAAATGTGGACTGATTTTGTTTCTTATGGTCCATGTGTATATAAACTTTCAGTTCTTCAAATCAAAAATTTTTTGCACATAACCATGTCAGTGTATTACCCTTAGTTTAAAAATGTACAACTAGATAAAATAAAAACTATTGTTTCTTCAATATTACTTGACATTTCTTCTGTAATTTATTTAAAAAAGTAAATGTAACAAGATACTTAAAAAACGCTTTAGATACAAAAGTAGGTAAGCTGCTCACGAACATTTAAAATTACCAAAAAGTATCTTCAGTAATCATGACCTTATAAAACATTTTACAGTTATCAGAAAGTGCCCAGGCTGAGTTTACATAACTGAATACCTTAGTATAAATGTCTAGTTAGAACTGAAGTGCAGTAACCTCCTAACTGACTGCTCACTGAGTAAGGATACAAAGGGGAAAAGGTGATTGTGATCAAGTATTGTGCATTGGCCCCATCATATGTACAAAAAGTGCCCTCACTCAAATGAACAATTACATGCAAAATATTAGTGATTTCATTTAATATCCTAGAGTTCAATGCAGCCAAAATAAACCGCAATAAGTGGTTTTTATAGGTAAAAGTGATTTTACCTCTAAGATCTGAATGTCTAGAACTTTTTACAAGTTCCATATACATGATACACAATTGCAGCCAACCACAAATTCAACACCATAAAAAAGTTAAAATGAAAACACAGAACATACTTAATTTTTTATTTTGAAATTCCCTATTCCCTCTATACAAGAACCTTTGCTGAAACACTTTTCACAAAGGCAGCAGTGAATTTTCAGAACATTTTACATTTTCCCCCTCAGCAAAAAGATAAATCACAGTGTAAATTATGTTGTTCTGCTGTCATCTTTGGCTGGGGTTAGACCCAAAGTTGTTAACTAGCAAATCATAGTTAAATGTTGCTAGTGCTCCTCAGTCCTTTATGCTACAAACTCAGCAAGGAATGTTTGTATTTATCTCTTTAAGGTACCTCCAGGGGGTGTGACAGCATTGACTTCCATAAACTTTTATAGACAAATGAAAAAAATCTACAAAATTCGCTAGTAATATTACACAGCAGTTACACACTTTTTATACTCTACACAAAACCAAAATTCTTGGTCTTAATGGCGAGTAGCAATTTCTGTTTGAGAATCTGTTTAGAGGAATAGAGTGGGACGTAAAGTCGAGAAATGCAAGTGTTTGCAGTAGGAAGATGTTGGTCATCTGGTGGTCTTATTGTGATTGAGGGCATAGGCTGAAATCCTTCTTCACTGGCTGGTAATGATGGGCTTGATGTCCAAAAGTAAACCTAAACAGGAATATAATAATTATAGCTTTGGTTTTTAACAGATTAACCCTCAACCCTTAATTCTGGCAATATACTCACAAAGCCCCATTCTTGTATTACAATCTACCTAAGGGTACTGTACTTTTTGAACTGAGTTTTAAATTTATTTCTTGTACTGAAAAGGGAAGATTCAGGGTCAGAAGGGGGAAAAAAGTGTCAGATATAGAAAAGAAACTATGTTTCAGGCTCTCAGTTTCTCATCTGTAACATGAGGCTGTTGGACCAAAGGTTCTCTAAGGGTCTTTCCAGGGGCTAAATTGCATGGCATACCTCATAATAGAAAAATGCAGCACCCCCCACCCCCTGGCTCAAAATTCACACAGGTTTTTAAAAAAGTTATTTTGCAGTTTATCTATTAGCAAAACAACCCAGTAATTTCAGTGCTACACTGTGACACAGAGTAACTTTATAAAAGTGATTAATGAGAACATCTACTGTACATGAAAATCCATGCAATAAGCCATCTAACATTATGTTTTACTACACATCTATTTTGTGTGATGTAAGATGAATGTTAACTTATACTTTATCTTTTTACTTAAATATGATAACATAATCTTTATTTTTATTAATACATTCCATTCATCATTGACCCATACATATATACATACATAGCACTCTTCAGTGATAATAAAATAGTGCCAATCTCTAAGGTTATTTATTTATTTTTAAAAAAATATATTTTATTGATTTTTTTACAGAGAGAAAGGGAGAGAGACAGAGAGCCAGAAACATCAATCAGCCGCCTCCTGCACACTCCCCATTGAGGATGTGTCCGCAACCAAGCGACATGCCCTTGACCGGAATTGAACCCGGGACCCTTGAGTCCACAGGTTGACACTCTATCCACTGAGCCAAACCGGTCAGGGCTAAGGTAAAGCCTTTTAAGTCTAACACATTTATATCTACAGTATACAGCTAAACAAACCAATATATCCAAAATCCCAGAGGAAACCTAAATGAACTAACTTGCTGTAATTCCTGAAGCAAATAGTTTTATGAGAAATCCAGTAACTCTAGAAACCCTATAATTTCAGGACTAATAATTCAAGGGAGAACCATTTGAGAAACTCTGTTATAGTCTAATATCCCTCAGCATTTCCCCTCAGACACATCAGGATAAAACCAACAATATGTGAAGGAAAAGAGTAGAGAGGGAAAGGACACCTTGATAAACTGCTTACGCCCTAGGAATAGATTTTATATAGGCATTTAAAGAGTGGAGCTCATAAATTACAGCTATGGATAGGAAATATTAAGGCCCTTATATTGAGAGACTCTCTCTCGCTCTCTCAAAACTGAAGAGTTAGCACATTTCTTTCAGGGAAAGCAGAAACTGCCGTGAGATTTAACTTGACTAACTGGAAGAGGATGTTATTAGTTTAAAAACAGCAGAAAATTAAAACTAGGGAATAGATAAGAATTCATATAAGATAGCCAATCATTTCTATTTCTGTTTCTGGGAGGCTTTACAAAACTAATACATTGCTTGTTACAGGGAAACAAAGTTCCCAAATCCAAAGACTGACTAAAGTGACATAACTCTACCAAGCTATTTAGGTGCTCTTGATGGCAACAAGGACAAATATGGTATTAGCCCTGGTAGGGAATTTAGGGTCCACAAGATTGGCAAAGTCAAATAACATGGAACCAATCACACAGAATTTACCACCTAGGGAATAATCTAAGTGGAAATCAATTACCAGGACGGCTAAGCCAAGAATAGAACCTGGTGACAGCCAGGACTGCTGAACAAACAGAAATATTAGTGAAGAAATACTGGAAGGCAGGGGGAGGGGGGGTGTGCTCATGTAAAGATTAAGGAATGCTAAAAGTACAAGTAACCATTTCCCCCTCTTGAATAAAATTTGGGGCTATACTAGATATGTGATCATTTTTATACATTCCATGAATAGTCTAGTCTAGATTACTGAGCACTAAGGCTGGTTTAGTGGAGACTTCTCTTTCAAGATTAATGGACAGGCTGATTTGGTCATGGATATATTCCAGGTTGGTCTGACTTTAGGATCAACTTTTCACTATGACCAAAGTTGATATTACCTAATCTATGCTTCTAAGTTAATAATAGTAAGATCAAAATCATAGGCTTAATATTCACATATCACAATAAAGCTACTCTATTCCTAGTGCGAGATAATAGTCAAGACACTATACTATTCAGAAATGTTGCAAAGGCTTACTACTAGTCAAAAAGATGACGGAGCAGCCAACATATATAAGCACTAGGGGGGTGGGGGTCTCAAAAATATGCTGGTATTATTTTCTAAGACTAATAATGTCATATTAATAGCTAAGATGTATTTATTTCACTCTGCTTATAGCTTTATTAATACTTCAAATGTTCTGTTATAGAGTAGAAAAACAAAACTGCCTATTATTTCTAACTCTCTATAATTTCTTTAGCCAAAATTAGAATAACCCACCATTTCAAACTTAAAACAAAAGGCTATCTACACAGTATTTTAAATTTTTATATTTTGTTATACAAATTCTGTGAACTTAACTTACAAGATCTTGTCGTTCTGTCATGCTCATCTTCTCTACTATTGACCAGAACCAACGCTTGAATTGTAAGAGCTTCTCGGCATTTTCTCCTAAGAATGAAGAATATAAATTCAATATACTGTATCAGTAGTTATATTTTAGAGTGTTTATTATAAAATATGTATATAATTAAAAATGTTGTATAGCCCGGCCGGCATAGCTCAGTCATTGAGTGTCGACCTATGAACCAGGAGGTCATGATTCAATTCCGGGTCAGGGCATGTGCCTGGGTTGCAGGCTCAATCCCCAGTGTGGGGCATGCAGGAGGCAGCTGATTAATGATTCTCATTATTGATGTTTCTATCTCTCTCCCTCTTCTTTCCTCTCTGAAATCAATAATATACACACACACACACAATGTTATATAGGTCTAATTCCTAATATAGAAAATCAGAACCAATTGCATAATATAACACCTCTATAGTTTCTTAGTCAATAGTAACTCAAGATGACAAGAAAAATGAACCACCAGTCTCAAAATTGATAATCACATGATTTTAATTCCATTTGATAAGTCATGATTATTCCTATGTTCTTAAACCAGTGCTTCTTGAATTTTAATGAGTTTACATCACTTGGGGATCTTTTTAACATGCAGATTCTCATTCACTAGGTCTAGGAGGAAGAGAGTGGGGGAAAAACAAAAATTCTACATTTCTAGAAAGCTTCAGATGCTGCTGCTGATCTGAGGATCATACTTGGAGTATCTTTAGATATATTCTTTCCCCTCCTAGGTTTTTTTACTTGTAAATGAGACAAATTCTTATCTGAGAAATACTGAACACTATATTAAAAAATAGTACAAAACGATTACACGATGTCTTATACATTGCCAAGCATGAAGCAAAACAAGAAAATTTATCCAAATTTAACTGCCTATAATTTGGCTGAAGCTGTTTGCAAAGTATAGGGGGAAAAAGGGAGAAAACTTGGTGCCTTCAATGTATGCAATAATCTTAGACTATAGGTATAATCCTCTCATAATGAATTTCTTGGACCTTCCAGTGTTTTATCGCGTAGTCACAGCTAAAAAGTCTATTCCGAGACTACAGGACTTTGAAAAAGAGTTGCAGCAAATCAAGCACTGAAGGTAAATGTTATTCTAGGAGGGTTATTATCACTACCTCTCTTTATTCTTTCTAGATACTCCAGGTATTTGTGTGCTGCTATATCTTTTGTGTTTAGGTCTAGTTCTACAAAGCAAACATCATGCAGTCAAATTCTTTAATCAGAGTTTGAGAGACATGAATTGGATAAGTTTAATGGAACTGACACATGGATTTTTTTTTTCTTAACTAGTATATAAAAAATCCTTCTCACCCAGTTGCTCACCACAAGGAATTTTTACTTTTTTACAAACCATATATTCTTTAAAATCTAAGAAAATTAAGCAATAAAAAATAACCTAACATCATTCAATCATGTTAAAAAAAATAATATAAAAAAACCTTTTAAGCATCAGTAATACATTTCCAAAGCCCTGTAAATGTATCTAAAAGTTAGAAACTCAGAAAATGCTGACTGACCAAACTATCTATGTATCTTATTCCTTAAATAAACATTTCAAAAATGTCATACCTGATTCATCATTGAAAGAGGTAAAACTGATCAGCATCTGCACATTAACTTCACCACAGCCATTTACCAAAAGCCTAAAATCTTCTGCTGTTAAATCTTCTAATGAGTTTTTTGGAAGCACATCCAGTAGACCTTTCCTCATTGCCTAGAGAATTTCAGAAATCATCTTTTTATTACTATTGGTACTTTTTCACATAGCCTTTATTGTTAAGTCCCAATATTTAATTTTAGCAGCCTCTCTCTAAAAATATTAGTTCTCATTTTAAACCAGAGAGAAAAACATTAGGTTCTGTATTTTTAATTTCTTAATAATAAATTCAAAAGAGAGGCAAAGGGGGAAAATGGCTTCAGGAATGGGCTTCATTTCAAAAGTGAACTAGTATTATATACCAGTCATTAACTAAAGTAATTGTTTAAACCGTATTAATAACAAACAGGGTAGTCACTGAATAAGAATAGCTTCAATTTGTCAAATATGCTATCCTGTCAACATCCTAAGCTAGGTATGATAATGACAAAACAAACTTCTCCAACACAAGCCCAAAATCTAGAAGCTTACTGAGAAATTACCATGTGCCAAGAATTGTTCTAAGTACCTTACATGTATTAATTCGTTCAACCCTATCCTCATCTTGCAGAGGAGGGAACCAAGGCACAAAGAACTTAAGTAGTTAGCTAATGTTACACAGCTACAGGGTGCTGCAGCCATGATCTGAACCCTGACAGTACAACTCCAGAGCCTGCAGTTACTCCCAGTCCAAGCATCAGTCCTAACTCTACATAAACAAACATTTTAGCCCAGAAGGGGAGTTAATGTCGCAAGCTTGATGTCCCTCTTCAGAAGGGCCTGGGTGGCCCTTGGCTGGCACCTAGGAACTTAACTTGGTTTTTCGAATATTCCCTACATTACTAACTGATGTTGGCTGTACTGAATGTCTGGAGCAATGAACCCTGTTGTACAGCTTGCCTAAACTCTTTGAGCAAACAGGGTGATTTACGATGAACAAGAGCTTTTCCCTGGGGGTCTGATTTCCAGTAATCATGGTTGGTTGTACAGTCAGGAATATGCTTACGGGACTGGCCTCCAATTAAAAAACCTTAGGCTGGCTCTTAAGCAGGCTCCCTTAAGCACAAACACTGCACATGTACTGCCGTAACTCACTGTTGGAGGAAAAACTTTGGAAGCCTGCACCTGGATGCCTCCATACTATGCCTGATATATTTTTTCCCCTTTTGCTATAATAAACCATAACTATGAACACAACTGCCTCTGAGTCCTAGGAGTTCAACTAGTAGGTCAGCTAAAGTATGGATGGTCATAGGACCCCAAAACAGTAGTCATTTCAGTCCCATAAACATCCTTTACAAACTTTTGCCCATCAAATTAACTTTCTGATGATTACATGTTTTTTTTCATGTAGTTTCACCCAAAGGAAAGTAATAGGTATGAATTCAGGTGCAATTTACATTGTAAATAAATGCACTTTGGTTTAAAATTTTTGACCATTTATAGACAGGTAAATATACTCTTAGTTTACCACACAGGAATACACAGAGCCTCATTAGATCAAGTAACACTTTTTTAGTAAACACTTACATGTAGTGGCTGTTCTGCAACTACCAACATTCTGTGCTCTGCATATTTCCGCACATATTCATACACATTCTGGGGAGTCACTGGTATATTTACACCATTAGGAATAAGTTCAACCTGTGAAAAATTCAGCAATGCAATTTAAAAGCAATTTTGTCAAAGCAGTAATAAGTTTACAGTTTGTATGGTAAACTGGAACATGGGTCACTTTCCATGATCCAACTCCCACTCCCACCCTGTAGGAAATTTAGTGAAGGACTTCTGTAAGCAGACTGTGAGACCTTGGGAACCTGGCCAACAACTCAGTCTAAATAAGGCCAAAGAGAAACTGCTTCTAGAAGTTAGCCTGAAAAAGGAGACCTATGTACTACTATTTGTAACACTTTAAACAATAAAATAAAATTAAAAAAATATATACCCTAAAAAAAAGTTGTGGTACGTTAACACAATGGAATACTATATATATATACAAAACAAAGAAGTTAGCCTGGATTGTAAACAGCTCATGTTTTGACCTCATGCATATCCCTCCCATGGTGCACGGATTTTCTCTGTCTTCTATATACTGTAAAACCTTGTGCTGGGAAAGTCTGGGTGGTGGCAAACAACAGCCCTGGCTAGCCACCCTGGCAGGAAACTGCGCCAATCAGCTGCTGCCAGGGAGCACTTAAATCCTAATAAACCCATGTCTTCCACAGCCAGTCCTCCAGGCTATTTCTTTGGAATCCACAAACAATAGCTGAGGTTTTCTGGGACCTCAGCACTTTGTATAACACAGTTCATAAAGCAATTTCATACATTTTTTAATCTAAAAACAATTCTATATATGACAAGTATCTAAAGATACAGACAAGTAAGTGACAAACCCCCCGCCTCTTCTGCCTCTCAAATCTCTCCATCTGTTAATCTGTCTTTTCTGCACACCCCCTCACACACACCTTCTCCCTCTCCCTCCCTCTCTGCTCCTGTTTACTAAATTGTTTCTATATAAAACAAGCACAATAGACAAACCAAATGCTCTTTCCAGAATCAGAGAACTACATAACTGCTTTACCTGTCCTCCACCCTCTTCTTTACACAGGTCAATCGCAAATGCCAAATCCATCGCTGAGAAAACAGCATCAGCATCTGAACTCTGGGAAGCGAGGATAAGTTGCCGCAAACTCTCATACATCACAGGATCAAAAAAAGCAAAATCATGCCAGTTGACCTAAGAAAGTAATCATATGAAATTTTTTTTTACACTTTATTCATTAGTAAATTAAAATGTATGATAAAAAATAATTTGGAGATATACTGATAAAGAATAATTTTCCAGTAAATATCTAATAACTGATCTAAAGGGGTAAAAATTTAATCTTTGGTTCTGATAATACATTTTAACTTTTAAAGCAAGTACAACATATTTTTTTGAAACAATTTAAAGCCCATAGTATAATTTTTTAAGTTCCAAAAAAATATATTTGCAAAAACCAGCACTAATTTTTAAACAATGATTATGCTGAGTAAGTGATCCTAAATTAAATATGAATCCTAGTCTTGACAATAATTATAAAATACAGATTATTAATTCCAGATGATAAATCTGATGCTCAAATGAATTCAGTAACTTGCTGAAGATCACGTCATTGGGTTAAACTTGAATCTATTTGGTTCCATGATCTTTTCCATAAACATTATTAAAGGCTAGACATAGCAACTGAATATATGTTGCTGAACTTTTATTCTAGAACATTTTAGGTAGGACACTTTTAAGAATTCAATAGGTTGTTTTATTTTTTTTAAAAAAGAATATGTAATATGATATTGCTGTATTAATAGAAAACAATAGTGGGCTTGTTTAAAAAATATTTTAAAATGATTTATAATGGCTATAATGCATTAAAATTTAGTATCAAATTAATGCCATAAACAATATGCTAGTATATAATTATTTTATAAAAGAAAAATTTTACAATTATAAGAGCAGTTTGGTTCATTAAAACACTTACTTTTCTACCGAGCAACACTTTAATCACATGCCTATTCAATGTGATAGGACATAGTTCATTCTGTAACAGACATAGTCCAAGAATCCTAAAAATAAAACCAGGAAATATTTAAATTTACAAATAATTCTAAAACATGTATAACCCCTCACACATGGAGATACAGTATTTTGAGAAATCTTCTATGGCCCCATTTTAATCAGTATGAATTAGAATATATATACATTTAAAAAACTAATGTATTTTTAAAGTTTAATTAACTGAAAGTTTTTGGAAATTCAAATATAAGATGGGAGGTATTTTACCTGCCAATGTTTCTGAAACAATTCAACCTTGCTTCTGTGTTTTTGCCAGGTCTTGGAGTATAAAATCCTCTTTTTCCAGGTTGGTAAAACAAAGGGGCATTGTCATCACCATCGTCTGTGTCATCTAGATCCATATCTACTACACTTCGACTAGAGCCATGACGCTTTCGGTTTTCCTAGTAAGAGAGTATCAGAGATTAAGTGCCAAAGTTAATTTTAAAAACAAAGCCTATGAACTTAAAATCACTCAAAGTGAAGTCAGGTAGGTAGAGCAACACCAGTCTTTCACTTCTCTATTCATATAAATAAAAGCATTTTAATGAAACTCTGGTAGCTTCTTTCACCTTAATTCCTTAAATATATTTTCCCTGGATCGAGAAGTCTAGAATGATAATTCTTAAAGCACTTTAAGGACGTGTTCCATTCTCGTCCAACATTCCCAGTTTTTGATGAGAAATCCAGTCTTTCAAATCATCATTTCCCTCTATGTAAGGCACTGGTTTTTGGCTGCTTTGTTTTATTTTTTACAAAAGCAGTTTTATTATAATGTGTCTGGACATAGGTTTCTTTTAGTTTATCCTGTTTATAGTTCACTGACCTTCTTGAATCTATAAACCTGCCTTGCATCAAATTTGGGAAGTTTCAGCTATTATTTCTTCAATTATTTTTTCTGTAGCAAGCTCTTTCTCCTCTTTTCTGGGTACTCCAATGACAAGAATGTTTGATCACTCATGATCCCTGAAATAGTTCCATTTGAAATCTGTTTTTTCAACATGGATAATTTCTAGCTCTCTTCAAGTTGACTGGCACTTTTCTCTGTCTTCATTCTGCTACTGAGCTATCCAGTGAAATATTTTCTTTTAGACATTGTACTTTAATTCTAGTATTTTCCTTTCGTTCTCTTATAAAGTTTCTATTTCTCTACTTAGAACCTCTATTTTGTCATTCCTTTACTTCACAGAAAGAACATGAGATGTAGTCTTTGGTAATTCCAACAAGAGGGTCATCTCTAAGTTAACATCTACGGGGAGAATTGGTCAGTCTTTCCTGGTTCTTTGATATTGAGTAATTTTGGAGTGTTTCCCAGATTTTGAATATTAAATTGTGAAAGTTGAGAATGTTGATCTTTTGGCAATCAACCTCGTTAGCTTCAGATTGGAAGTGTCACCTTCTGTGTGCAGTGGTTCCAATACCAATTAAGTTTCCAAAGCTTTTCATTTTACCGGATAGGGCCTGCTCTGCATATTCACCATTTGATGTAGTCTGGGATTTGGGACAGTGATTTATACACTGTAAGTTAGTTCCCAAAGCCTTTGCTCTATCTTCTTCTAGCTAAGATAGAGTAGCAATGATCATACCAACTGTTTTTTCAAGTTTTGCTTTCCTGCTCCAATCTGTTTGCTACTGTTTACTTTTCAGGATCCGCAGGCAGTTCCATTTTGTATTTGTCTAGAGTTTTTAGATGTAAGCAGTGAAAGAGATAAGATTATACTGGGTTTGCTCCATCTTGGCTGACAATGAAGTTCTTTGTAGCTCAAGGATAACACGTATCTGCACTAAAAAGCCTTCCTTATTGCTGTACCACGTACTTTGTCTGCACCTTTTGCCCTCACTGCTTCTTTGAAGAATAAGCTCTAGGCTTCCATATTGCCTCTCCTCTGCTATTAATTCATGGCATCTCTAAATTAAAGCTTAATTCAGGCTGTGATTAAATGGAGGCAGCCAGTGAATGGGGTTATATTGAGCCCTGACTAAACCAATCTCATTACTTGATTGTGTACATGACACCTATCTTTGTTTTCTCTACTATAATCAAGCATTTTACTTATAAAGACATAGTTCCTTCATAAATATGGCTTTTCTCCCCTCCTGTAATTCAAATTACAAGTGCTTATTAATAGCACATATACAAAATATCCCTTACCTGTACCTTTTCTGAGGAGTCTAATAATCCAAGATCCAGGATACTATCAGCTCCATTTTCCCTAAAAACAAACAAAATACCTTTCACATTCCAGGTAAGTGAAATATAGAATTTAGTGTAGAGAAAACATGTGAATTTAAACTTATTTATAATTTATAAATACATTTACGTTTTGAAGTAAATAAAAAGCACTAGATGCTCCAAGTCATGATTCAAAATAATAAACTAAAGGCTATGACAAAATAATGTAGTCTTCATAGGGGTGCTAAAAGTTAAGCTTGGGGAAGCATTATAAAGAACAGAAAAATGTTCAGAAAGCAATCACAATTGGAATCAAATTCTTTAGTGTATTATTCTAGGACACTAATAACTTTATACTCACTCCATAACCCATGTAGGTGAAGAAAGCAGTCAATAGTATGTATTATTTGCATTCTATAGAAAACACTACTAAATTAACAAACCTTACATATATTTACAAAACTTTTTCTCATCAAAAATGTACAATCCTCTCAATATTTTCTATAATGGGCTGAGCTCTATCAATGTGCTGATACCTCCAGAGACAGGAAAGAGGAATAAAGAAACAGCGCATAAAGTCTAGAGGAGAAATGTAGTAATAGCAAAGAAAATAAATTTCTAGCAATAGTTTTTGGCTTGGACCCTTCAAAGTCTGAAATAAGGGAAGTGGCTGTTTAGTTTCAGAGGTTAACCTACCTGGCTTTCCATCTTTAGGACTATATCTAAACTAAGTTCCTCATTCAAAATCATAGGACTAAGAAGAAAAAATAAACTTTCATCTAAAGTAAGTAACATCTCAAAACCTCAAACTGGATATTAGGGTAGTCCCAGAATAGAAGGCACAATATAAGTACAACATATTTTCCTAATGTCACTTGTCACCTTGGAAGAAGAAGGGTAAGTAATTTAACTGTTAGAAATTTAAACATTTTCTACTCAAATAAATTATACAATGGAAAGCAAAAGCTTGCATGGATTAAGATAAATCAGGAGGCCTAAAAGAAATTTCATTCTTATAGCAAGAACTCAGGGACTATACTCCAATTTCTTGAGGTATTTAGTTTCTGCAGTGAGGATGGTATCCTGATGGGAGAATTTGAGATGTGTTTCTTATAATTTCTAAATATCTCGTACATAAGGGATGCTTAAACACTACTTTCTAATAAATGTGAAACTCGGCTCTCTCAATCATGGATTTTAAGCCATTTCTTGAAAAGCCATTTAAAGTCTTATACTTTATAGTATAAATTCTAAGATATGGTGGCATCCACATCCTAATAATAAAGCAGCTGACATGTAAACTGAAATGCCTTCCCAAAGGTTCACATTACCGTCCATGTGCAATAATGAGTTCCATGGCTTCATCCACTCTTGCTCTCAGAGAATCTTCACTTGCTAGAAGGAGAAGCAACTGAGCTGGGGATAATTCCAACAACATGCCAGTGATTTTACTTGCAAAAGCCTGTAAATGATGAATAAATGTTAATTGCCCCTATTCTCTGAAATTTCTTGTCTAAATCAGCAATCTTGCACGCTCCAAAAAGAAAAAGGGAAATAAGAAATTTAGATAACAATTCAAAACTTCTGAACCAATAAGGTATTTTATTAAACTAGAAGCTTAATTATAGAGAACTTTGGTAGGGAATGAATAGTCCACGCACTAGCAGTCTGTTAAAGCTATTTTAATATTTATATAGTAAGCCTTTTTGTAACGCTCTTGATATTCATGAGTTAACATACAAATAATTTCCCCGTTTTTATTTCCTATCAGAATGCAAGAAACATTTCTTTCATTAAATGGTAGGAAAAAAGAGAGGAAGGGAAGAAGTAAAGGAGGAAGAGAGAGAAAAAGATGGCTGATATTTAAGGCTAAGGGTATACTGACAGAAATATAATTGGGTTTCTGTTTTATTATTCTTTTGCTATAACTTGTACATATAGTTATGTACAAAGACAAAAATCACAACCAGTTTGTTTCATATTATGAAAGAAACCTCTGACAGAACATTCAAAATAAAAATCTTGTATTTATCAGCAGTTAAGGTACAATATTTGCAATGTGTTCTAACTACAGATTGATAACAGATAAAAAGTGTACTTTAAAATGTAACAATGTGTGCAAATATGGCACAAATACAGTGCACAGGTAATTCTTTAGCACACAGGAACTTATGAGATAGAATGCCAAGGTAGCATAGGTAGGAAAACTGAACAAACCTCAAGCCATCTACACAGTCTCCCTCCAGCAAGCATGTTCCTTCCTAAGCTTTATTCTTACTACAGTCCTCAACCACATGACTTGCCAGGAGCTGACAATTTTTTAAAATACCAACTTTAATTAAGCGGCAGCCAAATGCACTGTACATACTGGTTGCATTGCTTGTACACGGGGATAAAGTCTTTCTCCAAGCGCCTGACGATGTGCTGGCAGAGGATCAGGATCATCACTAGGATTCCCTTCAGAGGCTGGTCTGAAGGGTCTAGTGTCGATGGAAAGCTGTCTTCTAAAGTCTCTGAAAGAAGAACAACGCTATTATGATTTTATTTCCTTTGTCTGTAAAATGAAAATATCAGCACAACAGGTAATGAGAGTAGATTCACAATTTGATTCTAAGGGAAGAGGACCTTAAAATACCAGAATCAAGAGCCCACCCATGATTCCTGGAGATTGTAGTCAAAAGTAAAATGCCAATCATCCTACCAGGAGAAAAATTGAAAGGTTTAAATAACATAATTGCAACAATTATAATTTTAAAATAAACTTAATAAAGAATGCTATGAAGTTTCAACAATTAAGAACATGAGACGGATAAATAAAAAGCGAATACAATTTCAACTGCCCTGAGTTGTTAAAGCAGAACATTTTAAAAACGGTGAGACTATTTTAGTTATTATATATGTATCCAAATATTAATTTTAATTTTCTAAAAAGTAGTCCATAATTAAGGTTCTTTTATTTACAAACCTGCCTTCAATTCATCAAAAAAGCTAGAATTCAACAAAAGATAAAAAATTATCTCACCTATCCCGATCTCTCCGAGAACCTGCTCGCAAGCCACTACTTCTCCTCATTTCCCTCTCTCTCTCCCTTTCCCGATCCCGCTCTCCTCTATTCCTTAATCTTTGCATCAAACCTGGAAGGAAATATGAAATACACTTTGTTTAGATGAATGTAATTTCAACTACTTCACAGTCAATGTGAGGACATGACCTAGCATAGTAGGACATAACAGCTTTAGAGCATCACTCTCCCTATGGTTTTGAGGGTTGGAGTGATTGTGCAGAATGTATCTAGCATATAATAGGTGTTAGTTCAGTATTTGTTTAATGAATTTTTCCTCCTTTGTCACATCAAAGCTGTGAAATAATATGTAGCAACTGGGCTATGTTAGTTTCACCAGAAATAATGCTGACATTTCTTACAGGATTAGAATCATATTCACACATCTTTCCTATTATTAGTATTTGATTTTATATATTACTAGAGGCCCGGTGCACAAAAATTTGTGTACTCGGGGGGAAAGGGGGCGTTCCTCAGCCTGGCCTGTGCCCTCTCACAGTCTGGGACCCCTCGGGAGATAACGCCCTGCTGGCTTAGGCCTGCTCCCGGGTGGCAGAGGGCAGGCCCAATCCCTAGGTGCAGCCCCTGGTCGGGCTCAGAGCAGGGCCGATTGGGGAGTTGGGGTGCCGCCCCCTGTCATGCACAGAGCAGGGCGGATCGGGAGGTTGCGATGTCACCCTCAGTCACGCTCAGAGCAGGGCCCATCAGGGGGGTTGGGGCTCCGTACCCTGTCATGCACAGGGCAGGGCCCATCAGGGGGTTGAGGAGCTCCCCCCTGTCACTCAGAGAGTAGGGCCGATAGGGGAGTTGGGGCACCGCCCCCTGTCACACACACAGCAGGGCGGATCAGGGGGTTGGGGTGCCGCCACTGTCACACTCAGGGCAGGGCCGATGGGTAGGGTATGGCTCTACCCTGTCACACACAGAGCAGGGCCGATCAGGGGGTTGGGGCGCCGCACTCTGTCACACACAGAGCCGCAGGGTGATCAGAGGTTGGGGAGCTCCCCCGTATCAGGCACAGAGCAGGGCTGATCAGGAGGTTGGGGTGCCTTCCCCTGTCACGAACAAAGCAGGGCGGATAGGGAGGTTGTGACACCGCCCCCTGTCACACACAGAGCCGCAGGGCGATCAGGGGGTTTGGGCGCTGCCCCTGGTCATGCTGATCCCAGTGCCAGGAGGCCTCTCGGCTCCGCTGATCCCGGTGCTGGGAGGCATATTACCCTTTTACTATATAGGATAGAGGCCTGGTGCATGGGTGGGGCTGGCTGGTTTGCCCTGAAGTGTGTCCTGGATCAGGGTGGGGGTCCCCACTGGGGTGCCTGGCCAGTCTGGGTGAGGGGGCTGAGGGCTGTTTTCAGGCTGGCGGGGGACGGAAGCTCCCAACCGCTCCTTTTTTTCTTTTTTTTTTAATTCTGGGCCAGCTTTAGCTCTGAGGCTCCAGCTCTTAGGCCCCCCCTGCTGAAAGTAGGTATCTGGTTTGTTTCGGTTCTATCATCAAGACAATGTATAACTCCAGCTCTGACTCCAGCTCTGAGATCCCAGCTTGCTGAAAGCTGGTTTCTGGGATTTTTTTTAGCTTCTATATTTGTTAAAATGTTTCAAACTGCAGGCTCAGAGGCCTGCAAGGCAGGCGGGGGAACATTGGAGTCCTCAGTCACTGAAGCAAGCAAGCCTCATGTTAGTTTCAAGCTGCCTGGCTGCTGGCCGCCATCTTGGCTGGCAGTTAATTTGCATATCTCCCTGCTTAGCCAATGGGAAGGGTAGCGGTCGTACGCCAATTACCATGTTTCTCTTTTATTAGATAGGATAGGCCATCCAGAACATTAACTATCATTACTTTTAAAACTATAAACATAAGCCTGAGTATGGTTTCCAAAGAATATGCAGAAAGATTATTTTTGAATCATTATGACTCCCCAGGTGTCCTCATTTACATTTGCCAATTTCTTATTGAAAGATTACTAGAGGCCCAATGCACAAATTTCGAGGAAGGGGCTCAGCCCTCGCAGCCCCAGCTTCATCTGGAAGGTCATCCAGCTGTCCAGTCTAATTAGCATATTATACCTTTATTATTATAGATAGAAAGTCAAATGGTAAAACTAATGATGAAAGGCTGAGGTACACTCCCCATCTTTTCATCCTTAATCCTTTCTAGAGCTCATTCAGCCTCTACAGTGGTTTACAAAATCCCAATAAAATGCATCTATAGCCTAGATAAAATATAGGATTTTCTTAGTCACTCCCTCTCCCCCTCAATTATTATATCCTCCCACCTACAAAACTGATAATATTCTGTCCCCTATTCATGAATGACCAATTATCACCTACTCAAGCCTTTTGCAATTTTCACTTAACTTGCTAATTGGAATCTTGAAAATTAGGCAAGAGCTCTAATCCCAAAGTGCTGCTCCTCAAAGGAGGTAAAGACTTTACACCAGAATGTTAACAGAAATCTCACTACCAAAATACAATGAGGTTAGTGATATAAGCCAACCAATTTACATTTGATTGCCAAGCTCCGTATCTTACTGGGAGCCAGTAGCAACTCTATAAAGCATACTTTTAGTAGCACTGCGCTGGGGAACATTATTTTCTTCTCAAGTATCTGAACTAATTAAATATAGAGGCTGAACTTGTATATTTCCATGGATCTTTGTTTTACTTTATGAAATGTACCATGGGTCTTACAACCTCCCACCCCTAAACCTATAACAACTAAAATGAGGAATTTTCATTTTCATTAAGGAAAACATGTGACAAAAGGGCAAACTGCTAAACTATCGATTAGAAGAGTGTAAACAAGATTAAGTCATTAATCTAGAATGAAAGTATATAAAAATGTAAATGTACATTAAAGTTCTCTCACTATAAATACATATAACCATGATTATCATTGTTTTAATCAAACAAGAAAAGATTTTTATGATGTTTGCTATCTGTCGAGTACTTACTTGTATGAGTGCCTTTGTTGGCATTTTGGATACAATCTAGATTTGGCAATTTTTCATTTGACAAAAACGCCTGTGCAATGGCTGTATAAAAACTTCGTGCTACACCACTGCCCTCTCCTGGCTCGTCCTTAAATGTGACTTTTACTCTGTGTACAGCCATTGGTGTAGTAGCACATCTTCGCCCAAAGTGATTGTTCAGCTGCCTCATGGTCTGCTGAATAAGAAGGTCTCGATCCCGATCCACCTATTAAAACATCGAAGATAATAAATTCAGTGTTGGAAACCATCCTGAAAATTTTCTATGTAACATCTGAACATCTAATTTTAGCTTTTTCTTGATAATTTAAATCAGCAGTCGCCAGCCAACCAGTGGTCCGTGAGGTCCGAAAGGTTGGTGACCACTGATTTAAGTAACTAACAAAAGTAATTTAGGTTCTCAGAGACTTATACATTCCAAATAAACAACATTCAAAAGTATACAAGAATGTCTTGTATTAAATCAGATAATGGAATTTAACTCAATTCTAACACTTTCTTAAAAGGTCTACTAGAAACAGCAATTCATTCAATTTTGGAATGCACCAGAACAAACTGCAAGTGGATCTACAGTGTGAAAATTTTTTAAAAATAGCAAATACTAAAAGAAAATATGGAACACCACACATAAAGTTAAAGGAAATGATAAGTAGGGAAAATTTTCATACCTTCTAATACAAAGATACATATTCATGAGTAGTGTGCATTATCACTTAAAGATAATATGATTCTAAAACACAAACCAACTTAAACAGAAAAAAAAAAATGGGCAAGATACATCAACAAAGAATTCACAAAAAAAGAAATATCCGTATATATATGAAATGACGTTTAACCTTGCTCGTAAAAGAAAGGCAAATTAAAACTATACTGTAATGCCACTTTTTAATCTGTCAGATTGGTAAAGTCTAAAAATTTGACAAAATGCTGGCAAAGCTATTCTCGTATTGATGTTCAAAGTGTAAAAATATACAACCATTATGCAGAGGTGTTTGCCAATACCTGGCAAAATTATGTATGCACATGCCCTTTGACCCGTAACTAGGTTCAATGTCTAGGAATCTCTCAACCTAGGTAAAATAGAGGACACACTAGGTAAAATATAGGACACACTAGACCACAAGAAAAACACAGGAGGCTACTCATCACACTAGTTACTGTAACAGCAAAAAGACTGTAAACAAACCAAAATGCCTATCAATAGGAGACTGACTGAAAAACAACAACAACAAAAAAACCCAGATACGATTATAAAATGTCTTAGCAATACACTAGGACTAAACAGCTGTAATAGGAAGCAGAATATCTCTACATGCAGTTAAGGCTTTATCTCTAGGATATATGCTTTACTGGTAAAATAAATATGGAGTAAAATGTATATCATAGTGGGGATGGGAAGGGGGAGAGAGAGAAAGGTAATGAATACACATGCATGATTATAAATTTTTAAAGTGAGGAGGGAAATAAACTTTAATTTAAAACTTGAAGGGCAGGGGACATGTAAAAGAGACAAAAATAGGAATAGAAACTAGATTTCTCTGAATACATACATCTTCTTTGTAGAGTTGACCTTGCAACATTGTAGATATTTTACATTCATTATGAAAAATAAAAAAATAAAAGGAGAAAGCAACCCCTAAAAGCTGAAAGCAAAATAAAACAAAAGGCCCTAATTATATGGAGATGATAGCAAAGCCACACAAAGATAAATTATTTCAAGTAACTTTAAAACAAAGTAATTTGACTGTCCATCTCCCAACTGGATATGCTCTAAGGACAAAAAAAAACAACCCTGCAAATAAATCTTAAGCTATTTTCAATAATCATTTTGTGGTAGTGTTGACATTGTGATTTTCAGACTGATACATGTATGCTGTAGAATAAAAGCAAATGAGTGAAGTTATCAGTTTTGTTGGGAATTTGGATATTCAGTTTGGAAGAAAGGCAATCAAGACTAAGCGGTGAAAATCAAAAAACAACTGTGTGATCCCTAATCTTAAATTTGATTGCGATTATCAGGATGAACTCATGATGTAATTTTCTTCTTATTCTTTTGTTTGCTTTGTTTGTTAAAAAGCATTTCTTATGCCGAAACCGGTTTGGCTCAGTGGATAGAGCGTCGGCCTGCGGACTGGGGTTCCCGGGTTCGATTCCGGTCAAGGGCATGTACCTGGGTTGCGGGCACATCCCCAGTGGGAGATGTGCAGGAGGCAGCTGATCGATGTTTCTCTCTCATCGATGTTTCTGACTATCTCTCTCCCTTCCTCTCTGTAAAAAATCAATAAATTAAAAAAAAAAAAAGCATTTCCTAGCTCTCTCCACTAAAAAGGCCTAGAATCAATGACTGCCCTAGGAGGCTACGAGAAACCTTAAGAGCCCAGATTATAATCTCAAAATACAATTTCCTACCAAAAGAAACAAGGACTTCTTGAAGAAATGGCTGACTTAAGTAAGGTCTTTGATGGGATATATACACAAGATGAGACATACCAAAAAAGAAGGAAGTTATCAAAGATTATTCATGTCAAAAGGACTCAAGAGCCAAAAAGGAATCAGACTCCCATTAATCAGAGACAATTTGAGCATCAACTGGAATAATATCCCCAATGAAATGAAGCCCATCAGAAACATTTAAATCCATGTGTTCTTAATGATACTTTAAAAGAGAGAGAGAGAAACTGAAACAAAAAAATCACTGATCATCATTAGAGGATGCTAGGTAGCAGACAGCCCCTCTTCTAAATGTGGTAACTACCATTTATTTTCTTTAAATTTTGAATTATACAATATATATCCCTAAGCAAGATTAATTTTTGTTTTTAAACTTAATATAAATGGCATACTATATGTTTAGTATAAGAAATTCTAAATACCTTTACCTCTAGTGATAAATCTCTTGACTGCTGATTTCTCAGTTTTTCCATTTCTCTACGGAATTTTGATTCTTTTACCTCAAAACCACCCAATTCGGTTAGGATCTTAAAAAAAATGCATGACAGAATTATTCTCTGAAATACGTTTTTAGAGACAAAATAGAATTTAAAGTGCTCAAAATACATACTGATCCAGGTTCTGCTCCAACATCTTCCATGAATACCCTGCCGAACAGTTCTAATGAAAGGCGCCAACGTCCTAGCAGCATATCATGGGAAATAACCATTCCCATGAAGCTACACTGTGGCCTGTAAGAAATTTAAGGGGAGAGGGGGGAAGTAATTTAGCCAACTCTAAAAGTTTCCTGACTTTTGGCCAATGATGTAATTTACTTAGTCTTTTAATATTCTGAGGCTTTAAGTATTTTGAACCATTCTTCTCTAATGGAGAACTTTCTACAGCTCCTCCTTCCTCACAGAACGTCTCATTTTTACTCAATTGTTCCTGCTGTCTTTTAAGTCAGTCTACCTCCTATTTTCAACTTTCATTTTACCTCTTCTCCTTCAAGTACAATGTCTATCCCCATTAGGTGATTCCCATACACCTCTCTAGTTCACACTTCCACAATGGACCAGAATTTCCACTATGTTAGATATAACCACTCCAATGATACTCAGCTCAACATGGTAAACTGCATATGGCCTCTTTGCTACAGTGACATTGCCTCCAGACCTCTTTCAGTAGTAACATGTACTCCCTTACTGCACCAACAGGATTTCTAATTTTTCTTCCCAAAGTTCCTCCAGAGTGATCAAGGCAAGGCCTTCACGAGCTTCTCCTTCCTTTCCATGATTTCCTTTCCACCCCCCAAAGGCACAGGCAATAATCTACTTCAGCCTCTTTTTTTTTTAAACCAATAGCCAGAGCTAATAACAGCTTTCTTATTTATCTCCCTACCTCTATTCTTCTATCAATCCACCTGCTTCTACACATTCTAACCACCTCAGCTCAAGCCATACTGTCTCTAGGAAACTTGGGCCACCCTAGTCCATGATTCTTCCTTGCCTTTTATGGTTGTTAGGCCATGTATGTAAAGTACATATAGTTTCCTAAACTAGTTTAATTCCTCCTAAGCAAAAATATTATCTGACATTATGTAAGCAAAAAACACAGAGCATAATAATCTACAAATCATTTGGTGATTAGCCATATTGAGCAACAGTGTATACTGGCAAATTTTTATTGGGAAAGCAAAGAACCTATCTCTTGCAAGAGAATGACCTACTGTGGACCTGGCAAAGAACGTCAAGTAAGTGTGAGAACCACAAATCTAGAAACCTTTCTAGTTATTCACATGCCCCCCCACCCCCTTAATTGAGCTGCTGGAAATAAGTCTATAATTGGTTATTTGACATGGAGATATACATATATATGATATATACTTTAACTCAGTACTAAACATTAAAAACCAGTCTTAGAATTTCCTCAAAGTGAGAAAATAATGCCAACCAAAATAATAATGACAACACAGTCACAAAAAGACAACAATCCATAAAACTAAAATTTAGTATTTAGTATCTGCTTATAACCTATGAAAACACAAAAATATAAAATAACATTTAATTATACTATTTGTCAAAGAATAAAATTGTAAAATTCCTAAATAAAAAATTCTTACAATTATATCATAGCCATAAAAGTAATACAACAGAAAAACTATCTTCACTTAGCAAATACCTGAAAGAGGTAAGAGGTGGCCCTTCACTTTCAGTCAGTCCTATTTCTGCCAGTAAACTGCTTTTCAGCTGTGCAGCAAGATCATGAGCAGATGGCCCTGGTTTAGCACTCTCGGCTTCTTCTGGCACCACGTTCTGTTCTTCCCCTTCCTTTTTTTGTCGATTTTGCATGTTCATTACATTTTTCAAGTTGGCAGCATAAGACATTTTAGTTGGAAGAACCTATGAATTTTTACATTTAAAAGTTACATACTAAAAAAACTAACTAGATTTTGTCTTCAACTTACTACTTCTCCATAGCAATCACATGCAAGTGATGGAATTCCTTTCTGGCACTTCACCTACAAAGACGCAGCTATTTCTTGTCTGTCTGATTCCCCTCACTGACCACCAAGTCCAGTGCATCTACCACAGCAGCCTCCAAGAACTTTTAAAAGTATTTCTGTAATATCTGTGGTTATTAAGTCTCTTATGCATCTTCAGGTTTGTTTTTTTTGTCATTTAGATAATAAAAAATTATATTCAACTAAATTTCTTTGATGATGGCTCTTAAAAATGTAATTACTTTTTTCATTGGAGATACAGTACAGAATTTTAGGCTCTGAAATCAGCCTTTTATCTAAAATCTAGATCTTTCACTTAACCAGCTGTATAACAATACACATTACCACATGAAATATATGTAATCTCTCCAATTTATTACCCATAAAATCAAGATAACAATGTTTTCTACCCAACATGGCTATAAGAATTGAGACAGTGCTTAGGAGATAGAATTATTGAACAAATTATTAATATTACCTTATTTATTCACATTCTAAATTCAAAAAGAAAAATTTCAAGCTAATTATTATTATACATCCTCATATAAAGTATGTATTCATATATGTACATATAAATTTAAATTTTCAGGAACATTATAACAATAAACTGTAATATAGGAAGAGCACATAATGAAACTCCTGCTTTATTGATGAAGTAATCTGACATAGCACAATTAGTCTCAAAGCTGGCTAATAAAATAGTTGGAATTCCTTTTGTTGACATAAAACAGGAATTTCTGATACTTAAATTACTTGAGGAAATACAATATTCTGAATTAATGCAGTTCCAAAAATAAAAAAATGCTTATTTACAAATACTGTATTGCAAAGATTTTTACTATCTTACCTCAAGGCAGTTTCTATCCACTGTAACCTCCATTAAGCATTTCCCACTATTGGCAGATGAAGAATAAAGACCCTGACTTGGTCGGCCAAAAAGATCCTCCTTTCTAGCATTTGGCTGCAATTTTAGCAGAAATATTCTAGTTACATTGTACATTTGAAAAAAAATAGTCAATTAAAAAGAAACCTGAATACCAGTTAATTTAAATCACCTGCAACAAATGTGGTTGATCAGCCAAGGGGATGGCTTCAGCCAGAGGCACTTCAAATGGATTTGGGGGTATACACCCAAGGAATGTCATGGAATCTGAGCGTCGGAAAAATGGATGATTTTGGCCAGTTTCTGCAGGAAGAGAGTCATCATCCTTATCATTCAAAGTAGCACCTAAACATAAAGAAATGAAATGTGTGGTTTTTAGAAAAAATTATTTAATCATTAGGGAAGGGTAAAAGAATCTTAATCTGCTCAGTCCAAATTACCTCTATAAATTGTAATGGCACTCAAAAATAATAGTCCATAATTTTTATAATATTTTTAAATAATTTAAATTTTTAGCAGCTCAAAATGATAATAATGGTAAATTTTATGTTATGTGTATTTTAAATAACAAGAACTTGCCAAAAAATAATTAGCAGCAACAAATATTGCTCCATTTTATATTAGATGGAAGTTTCCCATAACCTTCTCTTTATCTCTCTATAGATTCAGACCCGAATACAGGTAGATTCCTGAGCATATTCATGACCCGGCTCACATGAATCCAAAAAGAGGAAATGGTCAGGAGCTGAAATTTGAGCATCTGCTTACTTGTAAGTTCTGTTTCCTCTATAAGAAGACAGAGAAATTCTCTGGGCACTCATGAATCCCGATAGGAAGTCAGCATACCAACTCCCTTTAATAGAATTAAACTTTGAGAGGGGCTTACTGTGTGCTGTGAAAACAATAGGAAGCAATGGCTGGGTACTCAAAACTACCAGTTAGCTCAGTTGTCTTTCCCTGGGTTGTGTGAAAGTGCTAGCTGATAATAAGGGTCAAGTGGACTAACTGACCCCATTTAAAAAACTTTTTAAATTCCACTTGAGTAGCTGAAAACGACAAACTGCAGAAAATTCCTTGAGTTTGGAATACTTTTTAATTACAGATTTTGATATTCGATATTTCTCATCTTCTCGACTAAATCTATTTTGCATCAATATTAACGAAGGTTCTGCTAAGACTTTAATGCAAGTGTGTACTCGTAAGTACACACTTATGAGTAAAAATAAAACTAAGAAATGTACAGAGGAGATGCAAAGATTATGCAGGAAAAATACTGATTATTGAAAAGTTCATAACGTTTCTTTAATCATTCTTATTTATGAAGCAAATAATGCAAGGTTTTATAAGGAAAAATGGACAGAAAAGGCAAGAAATGGAACATAGAGAAGAATAGAGAAATCCCCACCCAGACAGAAAATAATGAAGTTAAAAAGCTTGAAGGGGAACTACTGAGGCAGCCATTTCTTGCAGTAGATTAGCAGATTTTCTGTGCACTAACTTTGATTGGTGTCATCATCATTTTCATGTTCTGAATCTTCATTATCAATACCCAGTTCCAAGAGTTCTCGCGTCCTTTAAAAAGACAAATGAGTTGTTTTACATGAAATTTTTGTGTAATATGAACAGAAGCAAAGATGATGGGAATTATAAGCAAAAAACAATGAAAAGGGTTAAGTATCTAAACAACTTCAAACATTTTGATAAAGTTTCAGACTCTAGGAATGATAGACTGACCAGCCATGTGTGTCACAATTACAAAATAGATTTAAATACAAGTAAAAAGCTAATCAGACCAAGAAACAGTGAGTATTTATACAAACTCTAATATATGATCAACCAGACCAAACTATCTCGAATATAAAGTTTAACTGGATTCTTAGGTTTCCTGTTTTAAGTGAGAAGCGCAGGGGTGGGCAAACTTTTTGACTCGAGGGTCACAATGGGTTCTTAAACTGGACCGGAGGGCCGGAACAAAAGCATAGATGGAGTGTTTGTGTGAACTAATATAAATTCAAAGTAAACATCATTACATAAAAGGGTACAGTCTTTTTTTTTTTTAGTTTTATTCATTTCAAACGGGCCAGGCCGTAGTTTGCCCATGGCTGCTTTAGCTACAGTGAAAGGTTGGGTATACTCAAGTCCACTTTCCCACATGAGATATTCCTGCACTATTTCTCTTTTGCAAAGCTGTTCTCCTTACTCCAAGTATTGGACAATATACTAATGAAGACCACACTGAGCAAGTAAGTATTTCTTAAACCAACCTCAGGGCAAGTATGAATACCTTTTGCGTTCCAGTTGAGGTGTGTCCAATGTTGTCTGCTGATTCATTGCTTTAATCCAATATATAAGGGCTTGAAAAACATATGCTACATGCTTCAGTGAGCAAACATCCAAAACTGGAAGGACATCCGAATGCTCATCATTATGAGACCGCATTAGAGAAAGAGCATAATTTAGGAAGTCCCCTCGAGCTGACATCATTCCTTGACGAGCACTAAGCAATGTGGCACGGCTATAGGAATAAAAAGAAATGAAAATGTTTACAAAAAGAACACAAACATGAAATTTACCACCATCATAAATATGCAAAATTAGGAACTGAAACTATCCTATAAAAGGGTAATATGCAAATAGACTGAACGGCAGAACAACTGAACAGCCAATCAAAGTGTAATATGCTAATGATATGCTAACACTGCTCAACTGCTCGCTATGATGTGCACTGACCACCAGGGGGCAGATGCTCTGACCAGTAGGTTAGCTTGCTGCTGGGGACTGGACACGCCGTGGAGCCCTTCGGTGATCCCTCCCCGGTCCTACAGCAGGAAAGCTGATGCCACCAGAATCTTGTCTCTAGTCCAGATCTCTCTGCCAAGAATAATGGACATTTCCATCAAATTCTCTCACAGTTCTTAAGTTCAAAAGCAAGTATTTTCATTACACTCCTCTATGTTTTTCTTTATATTTTCCTATTAGTTATTCATAATCAAATTCTGAATATCTCAAAGTAAATTCTGCCTCCTTTTGCTCTCTCAACAAGGCCCGAACCTGTTTATGATTTCAAAGCTTCTCTCTTCTCCCTTCCTGACTTTTACCTGCCACTTCAGTTTAGAAACTATCACACTCCAACCACAGTCTGATCAAATTTCCTAAGCAGTCTCCTAGACCTTGCTTTCCCCCTTTTATGATCCACCCATAGAAGCAAAGTTGTTTAGCCTGAGCCAAAGCCAGAACCAAATCCTAGGACTCTGACTTGAGGTATAGGCACTTTCACTATATAGCACTGCCACTGCTCTAGTGGTGATCAATGTTTGACCTAATTCCTAGCCCTGAAAAAGGTTATTTTATAACTGAATAGAAAGAACATAACAAATCCACAAAGAAGTATTCTTTAATTATGATTCAGCAGGCTGGAGAAGGTAGAAAAAGAAATGTAATTTGACGAACCAAAGAGCAGCTATGGTAATTACAGAATTTCCCCCTCCTGAGTACAAAGTACATTCATATTCAATCATGTTCAATGAATTTATGCCTTTTCCATGAATATATGCCTTTCAAAGGAAACGGGAATGCAGAGCTTGGGGATTAAGATAAGGAATTTAGGGATTAAGACAAGGACATAGCCAGGAGTGGGGAATGTCTGGCTCCAGGGCCATATAAAGCCTGCAAAACCATTTGGTCTGGCCTTGCAAAGGCATTAGGGGTGAGTTTGTTAAATGTTTGACCAAATATAGCAGGCTAGTTTTTAAGTTGATAATTTTGTATGGCTCAAGAATGATGTTATAAATACCCAAATGGCCCTTGACAAAAAAACAGTTCCCCACCTCTGATGTAAACCAACTACTTCAAAAATGATGATGTATCCTATATAATAAAGGGGTAATATGCAAACTGACCACCACACCCTCACACAAGATGGCTGCCCCCATGTGGTCACAAGATGGCCTGCAGGGGATGGCAGTTGTGAGCGACCAGGCCAGCAGGGGAGGGCAGTTGGGGGATGGAGGGGAGACCAGGCCTGCAGGGGAAGGCAGTTGGAGGTGACTGGGCCTGCAAGGGAGGGTAGTTAGGGGCGACAAGGCTGGCAGGGGAGGGCAGTTGGGGGCGATTGGGCTGGCAGAGGAGCAGTTAGGGATTGATC